GAATCACAACTGTCTTTAGAATCCCGATTATCATCACAAGCAAGATCAATTGTTGGGGTATCTTGCACTATGGGAATTACAGAATCATTTGATTCTTTTAAAATTTCAGGTACATTGTTTCTAGGGATTTTCTCAAAATTTTCTTTATCGCCAGATATGAGATCAATAGTTGGATTGTTAGGTGATATTGCAATTATGGAATCATCATCGTCGTCGTCACCTTCTGCCGTATCCATACCCTCAACATTACTTGGAAATTCAAGGTGGGAAATAATGTTTAATGGATCTCTTGCTTGTGGCTTCTCATTCGAATCTATGGTACAGGGTAACTCGGATTTTATAGCAACTGTTTTTATTTTGGATGATTTTAGTGCCGATTTCATATTACAATTGGATAATTTCTTCTTTAGCCTCTGCAAGGGATTTAATACCACCAATGGGGGTGGTGGTGGTAAATCTTCAGAAGGTTCTGAAACCACTTTTTTGTCTTTGACCTTATTTGACATTTCTTTGGTTTTATTCAGATTATTTTCCTTAATAGCTGGAATACTCATTGCTTCCAAGGATGATGCATCTTGAAATTGATTATCATTTGAATTCAAATCATACTGTTTTTCTGATATTTCAAAGCGGCCTTCGTTGTTTGTCCAGTGTGTAACAGCTTTTTCTTTTTTGGAATTTTTTGATGGTGGCATCAAATTGCAATCGGATAATTTTTTCTTTAACCTCTGTAGGGGATTTACTACCACCAATGGCGGTGGAGGTGGTAAATCGTTTTCAAATTCCAAATCGTTTGGAATAAATGTTCGGTCGTTGACCATTTTTGAGAGTTCTTTGGTTTTATTCAGAACATTTCCCACAATTCCTGGAGTACTATTTGATTGAAAGTGCTTATCATTTGAATACAAATTGCATATTTTTTCATTATTGAATCCTTCGTTTTTGTTTTCTTGAATGGTAACAACGGCTTCTAGTTTGGAATTTTTCGATGTTGGCATCAAATCACAATCGGATAATCTCTTTTTTAACCTCTGTAGGGGATTTACTACAACCAATGGCGGTGGTGGCGGCATATCCATGGCATGTTCATTAGTTTCTAATTCTTTTGAAATCACTGTTGGGTCTTTGACCAAATTTGAAATTGTTTTGGTTTCATTTAGAAATGTTTCCTCTATCCCTGGAGTAGTCTTCGATCGTATATCATCCGCTGACTTAACATCCGTATTTAAGCTACAAAGTTTTTCTGTTACTCCAATAATGTTTTCTTCTTGAGTGGTAACTGGTTTTTCTATTTTAGAATTTTTTGTTGGTGACATCAAATTACAATCGGATAATCGTTTCTTTATCCTCTGCAGGGGATTTACAACAACCAATGGTGGTGGTGGTGGTGGCGTTATATCCATGGCATTGTTTTTAGCTTCTAATTCTTTTGGACTCACTGTTTTGTCTTCGACTATTTTTGAAATTTCTTTGGTTTTATTCACATCATTTCCACCGTCTACTGCTGGAGTACACTTCGTTTCCAATGGCTTTATATCCTTCAAGGCTGCCAAAACAGCCTTTCGCATAGCCAATGGTGTGCTAGGTGCTGAGGATATGTAAATTTTATCACGATTCACTTTAAGTGTAACCTGAAACGTGCATTTGTTGTGCACACCCATTACCATGGTCGAGGCATATTCGAGCGATTCGCAACGCTGCTTTAGAAGCGATAATGGATCGCTTGGTGTAGCAACGTCCATTTTTTCTATTCTAGAAAGTAAATATCTTATTAGTTTCAAAAAATGTAAAAGTAATTTTAATTCAATTCGTGCTTACATTTTATTACATTACATTTGTCCGTGAACACCGCGAAACAATTTGCCGATCTTGCTGATTTTGGATTTACCGTTTTTTGCTGTTTTGTTTTCATTCACAATTAGTTATAAACATTACAACTTCCATTCACAATAAGTCATATTTGTTGACTCCTTCTTCTTCTTTCTTCATTTTTAGTGAAATGATAACCGCGACCATAAAACCCAAAGGCCACTTGGCGTATTGGTGTTTTGAAAAATTCAAATATGGTTTGGCTGCGGGAAATTTTCAGGTCGATGTACCATGGATATACTACCTGTTCAATGCAAATCATCCAAATCAAGCGCGGTGGTTTTTACATACCCCGATTAGGAAATCTATGTTCATTTTTAGTAAACAACATTTTGTTTGTTGTTTTGTATTGATTTTTTTGAAAAAAAAAAAATACTTTGATCTTTCTAACCTATATCTTTATATATTTTTTCTACAGTGACGCCAAGTTAGAGATTGGACTTTTAGGTGTACCTCAAATATATCGCTATTTTGGTATATCTCCCGCTTTTATTAACGATTCCACCCATTTTTCATTACATCGGAAGAATGGTTCAGTTCCAAGTTTGGTTGGAATCTTAATTTCAAATAAAAACCAATTTTCCTATGCCGAAGGTTATAGGATAGGACAAAGTCTTCTTTAAGGATAGGTTTTTGTTCAATAAAGCACTTTATAAATTAAAATTTTATATTTTGCCGAGATTAAATTTAATTAATTTATGTTTTAAGGCTTAAGGCATTGACCGCGTCATAGCTCCCTGAGAGTTGCACCTGAAGTTTTTATATAGAACAGATAGAGTTTTTGTTATATAGGACAGTATCTTTTTATTGAAGAGGTAAGATCTGTTGATGGGAGCACAGAAAGTTCTTATAGCTCTTCGATTAAAGAAGAAGGATGTCAACTTATGGAAGTGCTGAAGGTTTTCCCATTAACGTACTTGATTCCTTTTTTGAAAAGTGTATTTTTTATTTTCTTATTAAATTTCTGGTGGTTTTCATTAATAAGATGTTATTGTTGAATCAAACAACCTTATTAATTGAGATCCTCACAAAATGTTTTTTTCAGTTCGTCTTCGGACGGCTCACCAGAAAGACGCATTTAAAGATTTAATCACGCCTACGGGCTTAAAAAAAAGTACAAAATGGCGCTGTGTTAAGCTTTCTCTTAACTTGCCACGTGTTTTATTATCGAACCAAAGAAAAATATAAGAAAATCTCATTTATCTCGCGCATATGGTTTATGGTATTACACCATCTATTCAATTAGAAAGTGGACAAGCTGGAGGAGGAACTGCCTCCAGTATTTAAAAGAGATAAAAAATTATTTTTCGCGTATATTCAATTTATTATACCCTGAGGATATATACACGTTGATACGGTGAAAATGTGCCTCATCGAAATATTGGTTTCAGTCGATTTACACATGTTCGTCCGTCCGTCCATTGTCTGTCAGTCTGGCTGGTGCGCACGATAACTCTCGAAGGCAGCAACCGTTTTTATTGAAACTTTGCGCATCTTAATATTTCTTCCAAACTTACTTAAAGTTCGAAGATGGGGAAACACGGTCCACTCCTTCTGGTACCTCTCCCACAAAATGGTCAAAATTGTGCTAAACATTATTTTATAATAACATGCAAACGGACTATCCGATTTTAACGAAACTTTGTACGACCTATTATCTTTACAAAGCCTACAGCAAGTAGGAAGATGCGACCCATTGATCCACTCTTTGTAGTACCTCTCCCACGGAGGGTCAAAATATTTATAATTTCAAGCTAATGGAAGGTCCGTTTTGAACCTAACTTTGCACAACCTATTACCTTTACCAAGCCCAGATCAAGTTAGAAGATGGGACCCATTGGTCCACTCTTTCTGGCACATCTCCCACAAAATGGTCAAAATTGTGGTAAAAAATACTTTTATAATAACATACAAACGGACTATCCGTTTTTATTGAAACTTTGCACAACCTATTATCTTTACAAAGCCTAGATCAGGTTTGAAGATGGAACTCATTATTTCACTCCTTCTGGTACATCCCTCAAAATCGTCAAAATGTTCAAAATTTATAAATGTAATATAAGGCCAATATGTACCAAACTTTGCACAACTTATTATCTTTACGAAGCCTAGATTTAGTCCGAAGATGAGACCCATTGGTCCAATCCTTCTGGTACCTCCCCCACGAATGGTGAAAATTTTCAATATTTATAAATCCAATATCAGGCAAATGGAATGTCATATTTCAACCAAACCTTGCACAACTTATTTTCTTTGCCAACCCTATATCAATTTCGAAGATGGAATCCAGTAGTCCACTCCTTCTGGTATCTCCCTCACAAATGGTCAATATTTCATAAAACCTCTTTGATAAAAACATATTTCTTATATAAAGCTAATAATAAAATCTCTGTGTAATTTCGAAGACCTCCGCAAACCTTAGGCTGGGGGTATATATCTGGCGGTAACACCGACTGACTCTATTTTTACTTGTTTGATTTATATTTTACCTCGCTGTGATCGTTGAAGGCTTCAGAGTGCCATACAAAAGCTGGTTAAGCCTCGAAGATGGCTACATATACATGTCCTCAGCCTATTGACTATCTAAATCATATATGTCTGCAATGGAGATAATTGTTTCATAAATTATATCTTAAATATGGAACAAAGTTGCATGACTCATTTTTCAACAGACCCCATACCATGGCATAATTATGCCATGTCCCATACCAATGGTCTTTTGAAATCTGTCCCTATCGTAGCTATGTAAAATACTCTTGGGCATGTAATAATTCTTGCTTTAGTTTACAATTTATAAATATTCTGATGTTTCTGCGATTATGATTTTTATAGATTTCGAAAATAGAACGTCCTTCTTCCACAAAAACATATTTCCCATTTATATATTTGTTCATATGTATAAACTTCCTTCTTATAAGAATTATAAGAATTGGTCGAGTTTTTTCTCTGATAAGAAGTTGATATATGACCCGACATCGTTTCGATAATTTCGATTACAACTTATCAAATTAAAATAAATTATCGATTATTAGTAAGAAATCGTCCATCTCTAATTTCTTCGGTACAGAGCCGACGACCACCGCAAAAACAGCAGGTTTCGTACGGAGATTTTGTTAAAGAAAATAATATTGAAGTTTCAGGATTTTTCTCGTTCAGGACAATAAATAAAGCAAAATGGCAGTACGTTTAGCCCACAGATTGATGAAGACACAAACTCCCTTCCTATGCAGGGTAAGTAGCCGTTGGATCCAAAGAATAATTCTTTGGAAAGTAGAAAAATTACATAATGGAAGATTCTATATGGTGACAGAAAAAATTAAGTGATCGCGCACACACACACTCGGCAACAAGCTAATTAATTAAAATGTTGTTTTCTTTCTCTACCGCTCCTTCGTAAACAGAGCTACCCTATGTTGGTAACCAAGGAAAAGACTGAAGATGTGGCCCATACCAAGTCATCATTGCAAAAGAGATTGACGGTAGGTCCTTTGGATAACTGAAATATTTTGAGGTTATAGACGGAGTTTGTTTTGATTGCGTCTTTTGTGTGTGTTTTCAGGTACCTGAGATTCCACAAGCCCAGTATGGTGGTCGTCATGCTGTCACCATGTTGCCCGGTGGTGGTATTGGTCCCGAACTTATGAGCTATGTACGTGAGATTTTTGCCTACTGCGGCGCTCCCATCGACTTCGAAGTCATCGACATTGATCCCTCCACTGAGGGTAATGAAGATTTGGAATATGCCATCACATCGATTAAACGTAACGGTGTTGCCATTAAGGGTAATATTGAAACCAAATCACAATCGTTGACCGAAATCTCTCGTAACGTCGCCATTCGTAATGAATTGGATTTGTTTGTCAACGTTGTCCATTGCAAATCGTTGCCCGGCATCCCAGCCCATCATAAGGATGTTGATATTGTTTTGATTCGTCAAAATACCGACGGTGAATATGCTATGTTGGAACATGAATCGGTTAAAGGTGTTGTTGAGAGTATGAAGGTTGTTACCGTGGAAAATGCTGAACGTGTTGCACGCTATGCCTTCCAATATGCTCGTGAAAATGGCCGTAAGAAGGTTACCACCATTCACAAGGCCAACATTATGAAAATGTCTGATGGTTTGTTCTTGGAAGTGGCCAAGAAGGTGCACAAGGATTACCCAGAATTGGAACATAATAATATGATTATCGATAACACTTGCATGCAATTGGTATCTAATCCTCATCAGGTGAGTTGGTAATGGAATGGTGATTATTTGACGATTAAGTGAGTATCAAGAAGTTAGACATAGCTGTTTGAAGATCAATATTTAAAGAATATTGAGTTCTTGGAAGCTTTAACATTGTGTATTCAGAAGGACTATATTAACATTCATGGGAGCTAAAACAATATTAATGTTTAGTCCATATTAAATTTAAATCCTGCTACTATCAAGACCTCGCAAGGGTTAAATATTCTATAAAATATTGGTCTGGAAGCATTTTCAATGCACTTTCAAAATAGGTAACCACCATTTTCCTACAGTGGGCCTAAACAAATTGTACCTTTTGTTTCAATATTAAATTTAAAACAAATGGTCTGTCTGCAAGAATCTACCAGATTTTACTATTTTCTTCGATATCATAAAGGAAAATTTGTTATCGCAGTAAAAAGTAGTAGATTCTTGCAGTACGGGAACAGACCAAAAGTGTAGAAAATTTATTGAAAGCGTACTAAAAATACCGAAGATTGAAGGGTGAATTTATATGGATGCTATATCTAAAGGTGAATCAATCAATTTATAGATATTTCCGTCGGAATCTTTATGATGAATATTTTTACATAACTCCCTTTCTTAGTCGAAGATATTTTATTTCAAAAATGATAATTATTTCCTTTTTGTTTTTCAGTTCGATGTCATGAACATGACCAACTTGTACGGTACCATTGTCTCCAATGTTATTTGCGGTCTTATTGGTGGTGCTGGTATCTTGTCTGGTCGTAACTACGGTGATCATGTTTGTATTTCCATCATTAAACAAAATAACTTATTGAAAAATTTGAATATTCATAATTTTTGATTTATTATTATTTTTTTCAGTATGCCATCTTTGAACCTGGTACTCGTAATACCGGTACAGCTATTGCTGGTAAAAATATTGCCAATCCCTTGGCCATGATCAATGCCAGTGTTGATATGTTAAATCATTTGGGCTACAAAGATCATGCTCGTGTTATTTCCGAAGCTGCCTATGAGACTGTTGTGGAAAGGGGTATTAGGACTCCAGGTGAGATAGCTTTTATTTTTCTATATTCATTGTGATTTCGTTATTAATATAAAATGTTTTTTTTTTTATTCTAGATATTGGTGGCACCAATTCCAGTACTGATGTTGTCAAGAGCATTTTGGATATCCTCTCCAACAAACGTGTCCACTGGTAATGTCTTTTGTTTTTATCTACCAAATATTATATTTTCCATCCTGCTGTCTAAGGGCACAACCTCAGTAGTCGTTGCTCTTTTCAATTATTATTACTTTTTTGTGTATTATGAATGTTTTTATTTTAATTTGTTGTAGTCTATCGTAGATGCATTTATGTTTTTTCTTCGCCATCTATTATTATTTTTTTTTTCTTTGAATGTTTACGATTTTTATTTGTAGTTTTAGTAAAATAAGAATATCTGCCAAAATATTCTTGAATTATATTTATTTAATTAATGTATTTATCTTTGTTTCCTTAAACACGATTTAAATATCCCAAAGAATGTCACTATTGTATTTATTTTGAATGTTTACCGTAGTCAGGGCTTTTAGCCAATTTACCAATGATGGCTTTTATTTTTGTAAACTTCTAAATTTATTACTAATATTCTAGCCATCTTATACTAACATACAAACAAGCATGTAACTATTTTTTTATTTACTAACTTTATAATAACCACACATTACTATTTGGCTATTTTTTGATTTTAAAAATTATATTTTTATTTTTAATATCCATCCCTACCCTACTATCCTTTAGAAAAATTATAATTATTTTATATTAACTAAATTTATATTATCCTTACATAACTAACAAATATTTGTATGCCCAAGTTATATCCTACAACACTTCTCTATAGGGGCATTCCTCCTTTTATACTGTGGATGACTTATACATTAATATTTACTCTATATATTTTGACCCAGAACTCATCTACTGTTGAGTAGGTGACCTCAGAAGTCATCTACTGTAGAGTAGTGGCTTCGAAAGTCATCTACTGTAGAGTGGGTGGCCTCAGAAGTCATCTACTATAGAATAGGTGGTATTAGAAGTCATCTACTGTAGAGTAGGTGGCTTCAGAAGTCATCTACTGTAGAGTAGGTAGCTTCAGAAGTCATATACTGTAGAGTAGGTGAACTCAGAAGTCATCTACTGTAGAGTAGGTGAACTCAGAAGTCGTCTACTATATAGTTGGTGACCTCAGAAGTCATATATCGTAGAATAAGTGACCTCAGAAGAGTAGAGTAGGTCGCCTCAGAAGTCATCTACTGTGGAGTAGGTGAAATCAGAAGTAATATACGGTGGAGTGAGTTACCTCAGTCGACATCTACTATATAGTAGGTGTTCCCAGAAGTCTTCAACTGTAGAGTAGATGATCTCGGGAATCATCTACTATAGAGTAGAAGAAATCAGAAGCCTCCTACAATAGAGTAGAATGCTGATGATGACCTGAGATGCAATCCAATACAGAGTAAATTCATATACTATGGAAAAGATGACCCCAGAAGTCATCTAATATAAATTACATAACCTCAAAAAAGTCTACCCTATAGTAGATGTGTCCATAGAGCATCTACTGTAGAGTGGAGGACTCTAACATTTTGCCATGTACTTCCTTTTTTGCTAATTGGTAGAATTAACTTTATATAGCCCCCCTTAGTTTGCATCCCTATAATACAGCCTACACCAACACAATATTACCTTTACTTAATACACACACACACTCAAGCACACGTATGTAAACAAAAAACACACACACAGTAGAACACTTTAGTAACTATTAACAAACTATATTTGGCTTTTAGATTTAATAACAACAAATTTTTTTTCCAAATTTTTTATTTATTTTTTTACAAAATTTTATAACAACAAAAATAATTGATATTAATCTTAATATATATTTTTTCCAAATTTTTCCCCCTTTCCCACCACCACAACAACCACACAAAAAACCAAAAACACAAATTCGATCCTCAACAAAATTGATTAAAATGGTGTTTGGTAAAAATGATGCGATCGCGACCTCTATGTATATGTATGTGTGGATCAATGTGTATGTGTTTTGTTTAATTACATGGTTACAGGCCACATGGAAACTATTTCAGCCAAAACTAATATGCGTTAAGAACCCAAAACAAAAACAAAACAAAGAAACAACAAAAACTTAATATATTTAACCGCCAATGAAAATAAAAAATCCCTAGATTTTTTTAACAATAGCTTTAAGTTAAATTTAAAATACAACAACAACAAGTTCCATTAACATGCTTAACCACCCAACCGATTAACTATTAATTGCAATACACATGAAATGAAAAAAAAAAACAAACCAAAACCTGTAAGCCAACCTGAAATGCATCCTGCTGCTGAAGTACTTGTGTATCCCAAGGACATCATGAATGTGAAAGATGAGTGTATGTGTTTCATGTTTTGTTACCCCACACCACCCCCTTGCTGCGATCCTGCGTTAAATGTTTCGCCGTTCAAATTGGAATTTTAACCAGAAAAAAATCAAAATTTGAAACTCTTGCCTAAACAAGATCAAGCTATTAACACAAAAGAACGAATTTCCCGTGCTCTTAAAATCCCAAAGCAATGAAATTGCATAAAACACAGGAAAGGTAAATTTTTTTGTATTCAAATTCGTCCTTATATTCTACACCATTTATACGCAATTAAATATACCATTTAAATTAATAAAAGTTATATATAAATAAATTCTTTATATATTAAAAAATATAAAATGAAATGGTGTAGAATGTAAGTAAGTAAGTCGAAATTTTAAACGATTTTTTCAATCACTTTTTGTTTATTTCATAAATTTTTTCTTTCACTTTCTTTCTTTTATCTAAAAACTAATATTTTTTCTTTTCCATTTCTTCTTCTTTTTTCTCTATTCTATATATTTACAGAGTTTCTTTTGACAACATGTTTACACCCAACAGACAATTCTCAGAGGTTTATCAATACCCATCGTCTTTCACACAAACCAACATACTATTTTCCAAATAATTTCTCCAAAACAAATTTTATTGCAATGAAATTCCAGATTAATAACGTTGTACACAAAACTAAGTTCTAAACTATGTTAACTTTGTGAACTTTTCTTAAAAGATAAAACAAAAAAAATTATTTAACTATTTACGACAATTGGTCACTCCTTAGCCCATTATTAAAAAAAGGAGTCTAAAACAAGCAAAACAATGCAAACAAATATTGTTAGTTCAAATTTACTTGACTCGTGTGTATTAGTTTGTTTAAAAAAAACGTCACCCTATTTTCTTCTTTTGTGTTGAATATTCTATGATTTTTTTATGAATCTTCAGTTTTTATTTTATTTTTTGTTTTGTTCGTACTTATTTTACAACCACCTGACCACAACAACCGTATATGTATTAAATTAAATTATCTCTCCCCCATATTTTTTTATTTTTATTATTTAACTATATATTATTGTTTGATTATTTTAAATGTTGAGTAGTCAGTCACAAGTATACAAAAAAACAATAACACAAAATCATGTATTATTTTTTCGAATATTTGTTAGATAGTCAAGTAAATAAATAAACAAAAAGTAAATTATTTGAAAAAATATATAAAAAAAAACAATTTTAAATTGAGTTTTATTTGGGAATAATTTAAGAATATTTTTTTAGTCTTGAATTTTTAAAGAATATTTTATTAAGAAAGAAACATAAAAATATTTTTTTATATTATATTATATTTAAAAAATAAGGCGTGGGATTTTTTAAAAATATTGTTAAGGACCTTCAATCAGGCGAGGATTTTTTGAAAAGAAATACTTCTTCAGTCAGGCGTAGATTATTTTTAAATATTTTTGAGGACATTCAACAGAGCGTGGAATCATCAATAAGGCCTGGATTTTTTTAAAATATTTTTTAAGGACCTTCAATCATGCGTGGATTTAAACACAATTTTTTTAGAACCATTAATAAGGCGTGGGATTTGTTAAACCTATTTTTGAGCGTGGATTTCTTAAAATTATTTTTTGAGTACCATTAATAAGGCGTGGATTTTTTAAAGAATATTTTTTGAGGACCTATACAAGGCGTGGATTTTTTTAAAGAATATTTTTTTGAGGACCATTAATAAGGCGTGGATTTTTAAAGAATATTTTTTGAGGACCATTTATAAGGCGTGGATTTTTTAAAGAATATTTTTTTGAGGACCATTAATAAGGCGTGGATTTTTAAAGAATATTTTTTGAGGACCATTAATAAGGCGTGGATTTTTAAAGAATATTTTTTGAGGACCATTTATAAGGCGTGGATTTTTTAAAGAATATTTTTTTGAGGACCATTTATAAGTCGTGGATTTTTTAAAGAATATTTTTTGAGGACCATTAATAAGGCAAAGGCCTATCAAGGCGTGGATTATTAAAGAATAGTTTTTCAAAGGCCTATCAAGGCGTGGATTATTAAAGAATAGTTTTTCAAAGGCCTATCAAGGCGTGGATTATTAAAGAATAGATGTCTATCAAGGCGTGGATTATTAAAGAATAGTTTTTCAAAGGCCTATCAAGGCGTGGATTATTAAAGAATAGTTTTTCAAAGGCCTATCAAGGCGTGGATTATTAAAGAATAGTTTTTCAAAGGCCTATCAAGGCGTGGATTATTAAAGAATAGTTTTTCAAAGGCCTATCAAGGCGTGGATTATTAATGAATAGTTATTCAGAGGCCTATCAAGGCGTGGATTATTAAAGAATAGGCCTATAATTTTTAGAAAGTTTATCAAGGCCTGGTCTTTTCAAAGAATAATGTTTGGAAACCCTATTCAGGCGTAAGGATTTTTCAAAGAATAATTTTTAGAATGCATATCCAGGCCTAGGATTTTTCCAAGAATAATTTTTAGAAGGCATATCCAGGCCTAGGATTTTTCAAACAATAATTTTTGTAATTCCTATCAAGGATTTTTAAACTACATTTTTTATAATTTTTATAGAACATTTTTTCTAAGCCTAACATTGCATGAATTATTAAAAAATAATATTTTTCCTAAAATTTTCATAACACCCCTCGTTAGCGCCAATGTACCTTGACATTCATCATTTGCCAATAGCGCCAAATATTGACAACTATGGGAAATAATGAAGAAACATCGAAAGAATACCGTTAACATTTTAGTACAACCAACCAACATACTTACTTACAAACACACACTATAACTAATAGACAAAAAATACAAGTAAAATCGTTTAATTTAATAAGACAAACAATTATATTTAGAAATAATTTAAATACTAAAATATTGACTGTTAATCTTTGGACAAAAGGCATTTCAGCGAAACTAAAAAAATCAGTTACAAATTTGATTGGATATTGAGTATTAGATTATTAAAAGAACAGGTGAGTTAAGAATATAAATCATGGTTGATAATTTGTCTGCTTTTTATAACCTCCAAAGAGCACAAAGGGTAAGGTAATGGTAAACCATATTCAAACCTGAATTTGTAGAGGTTCTCTTTTTTGTAAGATGTGAATAAGAGGACATCACTTATATTTAATGTTCACCCCCCTGGTGCACAAGAAAATTTTTGGTTTGATATTTAAATGCAATACAATTTATAATCAAACAAGGATATCAAAAATAGGCAAGGATGTTCAAGAACAAATTATAAGAATGGTTACACCCAAAAATAAACTTAAACATTAGGCAGTTGTAAAATGTATAACAAAATCTGATGTAGATCAAGAATCACGCACTTTAGCTCGGCTATAAAAAAACATTTCTTTATAGACTTCAACCCATCTATAAATATTCCTTTCAGATGCCTTACGCCCTTCAACTCGTCTATAAATACTAGATTCTGCTCGTCTATAAAGAATCCCTTTAGCTCTCTATAAAGACTTCATTCAGCTCGCCTTTACAGACTCCCCGCAGCTCGTTTATAAAATCTCCTATCAGCTGGCCTATAAAGATTCCCTTTAGCTTTTCTCTAAAAGATCAATTCAACTCCTCTGCTAAGACTTCGTTCGTACTTTTTTTATAATCCAATGAAATTAATTTGTCACAAAATTACTAAAAATTCCTAATGTACAGTAAAATCGATCAATTGTGAAAATACAATCGATTCCTTCCTAGTTTTCTTACTTGGGAAAGCCTAGTATGGCAACAATTGATATTTGTTGAAAATAAAATTCAAAACTAATAATAATTAATTTCAAATTATAATTTCATTTCAAATCCTTTGTACATTTAGATTTCCAGATAAAATGTCCTTGCGCTATGTGCAAAAATTGCAGGGGATACATACTCCATTTTTATGTAGGGTAAGTATTATTAATATGATTTTTTTAATCGTGATACCTTCATTTATTATTTCCCCAATCGTTTTTCAGAGTTATCCCTTCTTAGTGACAAAAGAAAAATCCAAAGATGTGGCCTTCACTAAATCCTCATTGCAAAAGAAATATAAGGTAACGAACACTTTTCTTCTTATTTAGTAAAACCTAACCTAAAATAATTCATTTATTGCTTTTCAGGATCTGGAATTTCCTCGTACCAAATATGGTGGACGCAGTGTTGTCACCATGCTGCCGGGTGGTGGCATTGGCCCCGAACTTATGACCTATGTGCGTGAAATATTCTCCCACTGTGGCGCACCCATTGATTTTGAAGTCATTGACATTGATCCCTCCACCCAGGGCAATGAAGATTTAGAAAATGCCATAGTGTCGATAAAACGTAATGGCACCGCCATAAAGGGTAATATTGAAACGACATCACAAAATTTAAATGAAATTTCACGAAATGTGGCAATACGTAACGAATTGGATTTATATGTAAATGTTTTGCATTGTAAATCGTTGCCGGGTATACCGGCCCGTCATCAAAATATCGATATTGTATTGATACGCCAAAATACATATGGTGAATATGCAATGATGGAACATGAAGCCGTACCGGGACATGTGGAAAGTTTAAAAATTATGACGGAAGAGAATGCAGAGCGTGTGGCACGTTATGCTTTCGAATATGCTCGTCAGCAAGGTAGGAAGAAGGTCACCACCATACATAAGGCAAATATTATGAAGCTGTCGGATGGATTGTTTTTGGAAATGGCCAAAAAGGTGCATAAGGATTATCCGAATATACAACATGAAAATATGATTATCGATAATACGTGCATGCAATTGGTATCGAATCCACATCAGGTGAGGAGGGCGAGAAGGATGTGTTTTAAAAATGGATGAATGGAATAGATTTAGCATCCAATTAGATTGGAAAACATTTACAAAACCCACAAAAATACGGAAATAATTTAATTGACATTTTCCTCTTACAATTTATCCAATAAATTGAAATTTAAACAAAATGTTACTTTTCATATTTCCTTCTTCCAGTTCGATGTCATGAACTTGCCCAATTTATATGGCACCATAGTGGCCAATGTCATTTGCGGCCTAATTGGTGGAGCTGGCCTATTATCCGGTCGTAATTATGGTGATTATGTATGTATTTGAAAATGTATTTAAATATTGAATATATTTGTTTTTAAATTGTTTATATTTGCAGTATGCCATTTTTGAACCTGGCACTCGTAATACGGGTACCGCCATTGCTGGTAAAAATATTGCCAATCCCTTGCCCATGATCAATGCTGGCATTGATTTATTAAATCATTTGGGCTATAAGGATCATGCTCGTATTATACACGAGGCAAGTTATAAGACTGTGGTGGAGATGGGTATTAGAACACCAGGTGAGTTGGAGGTATCATGTAGACTGGTACTGGGTATAATGTCTTTTAAAGATTGTTTGTAATATGGTATAGTGCAGGGAATTTTTTAACGCTTCATATTTAAATAAAGCTCCCATATATATTTTCGTTCGAGATCCTGGAAATGGTGAACTAAAGGCACTATATTTGTACGATAGACAGTAAAAGTTTTATTTAATCGAGTTCGAGTTCAGATTTTAATATAGCGTTCATAGAAGTCGGTTCAGAAATTGATATAGCTCTCACATATAAATTTTGTAATTTTCGTATCACTTATAATGAATTATTTCTGCAAAGATTTTTTCACCCTCGAGAACTCGGAATAACAAATTAAAAATACCGAAAATAATGCGGTGTTCCACACCTCAGTACGCCACCTATTTTCTATAAAATCCTGGAAACCGCCCAATTTTATAAGGTATACAAGAACAAATTTTCAAAGTTTGTGTAGGTTATTTTCCATAAAAAAATTCTTAGGTGCTGAAAATTAAATTTTGATAGAATGAATGTGCCTGAAATATGTAGACACATTTTCTTTAGTTCATGATGTAAGCAAAGTTGTCACATAAATATTCTCAACCAATGCGCCATCTACTGGGTCAAATTAAGGCTATATGTAAGCGAATATCACAACTATTTCAAATTCATTTCATGTGTGATGCACACTTTTAGGGGTGTCCTCTTAAAAAAAGAAACACTAAATCATATGTTCTAATCCCAAAACTCTAGGACAACAGTCTCCGTAACGTTGGTCAATCTTCAGTTCCTCAGGGGTATTATCAGCAGAGTTCCGGAAAACAATGCGCCACCTACTGGCTCAAATCTAGATAAGTGAAGAGCCCAAGCAAATTTGAAATGTTTCTATTGTAACTATTTCAAATTCATTTCATGTGTGATGCACACTTTTAGGGGTGTCCTCACAAATTAAACACTAAGTCATATGTTCTAATCCCAAAACTCAAGGACAGTCTCCGTAACGTCGGTCAATCTTCAGTTCCTCAGGGGTATTATCAGCAGAGTTCCGGAAAACATAAATAGACACTATCAATGCGCCACCTACTGGTTCAAATCTAGATAAGTGAAGAGCCCAAGCAAATTTGAAATGTTTCTATTGTAAATTCCATCCTGCTGTTGATGTGGAATATTCTTCAGACAAAATTTTTCCTCAACCGCAGGAGTATTTTAATATTTCTCAGTAAAGAATTTTTTTGAAATTTTCTGTTGACAAAGTAATCGAATTTCAAGGGCAGATGAGTAAACGTAATCAAAACACCATCCATTGGGTCAATTTTAAATTCTAAGTAAACGATGACCTCAATATTTTCAAAATACATCACATATTAGATGCATACTTTTAGGAGACTAGTCATAAATAATAAATCATATGTTTCAACCCAAATACTATCGTACAGGCTCCGAAATGTCGTAAAATAATAATGACCGGTACAAGGAACAAATATTACCGTCCAGCGAATTGTAGAATTTATTGGGGTACGGAAAAAATCTAAGAAAGTAATTTTGCTAATAAAATAAAACTATTGATGATTATAATTCCGATCAAGAATATATAACCTTTGATGAAAATTTCGATGTGTTATAGACGGAATATCAAATTAATTAGGTGTATATTAATTTGATATCGATAGAGAGTATTATTAGAAAAATGTCGTCCTAAATTTGGCACGTTTCGAAAGTAGGTGTTCTCTCGTGTTCTTAGGGTATTTCAAAACAACTCTTAAAACAAAATGATTTCAATAAGCTTTTATATGATTAAGAAGAACATTAATGAATTTAACTGTATGATTTATTTTCTTTTCAGATGTCGGCGGTTCAAATACCAGCACTGATGTTATTAATAGCATCATGGATTATCTACCAAATTCCAATATTGTCTGGTAATATATATTTAATTAATTATAATATTCAATTCGGTATTTATATTCGTATACTAACATCTTAAGAATGAAAGTCGTGTTCCTAATATTTATCGATTAATATTTTTTTATTAGTTATATGGTAAAATACTTACATTCAGTATTTGTATATAAATTTTCTGAAAACGTTTTTTATTGTGTTATTATTAATAATTGTTTTAAACTCTCCCATCTAATTGTATTCCATTTTCAATTCCATGTAAAGAAAATACCTGCAAAATATCTTGAGCATGGCTGTGAATGTCCTTATAAAATTTCTAAATATTTATATAAAGCGAATGTCTAAAAATGTCCTTGTGAATGCCCTCTGTGAAATGTCTATATTTGAATTTTATCTTATATATTTTTCTAAAATGTATAAATGTTTGTGTGTTCATGTGCCGTATTAAAATACAAAAGTATATATTTATAAAATATATACATATTTATTATATTTTTTTTTATTTCTCCAGGCCTCATGAAGACGATTTTATGCAACAAAGAGAAGTTAGAATTTAGGCTGCTTCAAAGTTAAGAAATTAAATCTCACAATCACACATACCATTTATTCATCAACAATTTAACACTGTTCACAAACATACAGACGTAAAAAAAATACTTGATCAACATATTCATTTGACAATTTTGAAAAAAGTAAGTTAAAATAAGTGATATATCTTGAATTTAATTTTGAATGAAATTATTATAATTTAATATGTGGTTTATTTACAGCTATTACCAGTCCCCACTTGACATTACATCCATTATCCTTACATAAATTTGTTTCCCTTTTCACATTTTTATTGACACCTTTTTTTATAAAAAATTAATAATTAACTTGTTGTTTAACATTTTTTTCTAATTATTTAAAAAATTATTTCGATGTTTTATAAAAATTTTGTAATTTAAAAAGAATTAAATTGATATTAAGCTTAAAGTAATAAACGAAACTTATTGACAACTAAAATAGTGTTATTTTTTATTTCAATTTGAGGGACACCTTGGAAGTTATTATTTAGCAAGTGGGGATAAAACTCAGCCACTTTTATTATTTTCACCACAGTGCAAGAAGACGTAATACCCTGTACACGTCTTTTTGCATATGTTGTAACAGTTAAAAAGGAAACTTTATAGACACATAGTTCCATTTGAGAATATGCATAGAACCAGTTTCTGAGTCGTCCGTCTTTCTATATTTAATTGTAAACAAAGTATAGGCCGCATTTGACATCAGAATTGGGTGCAATATGGCACATTACATTTATTTGGCCAAAGGACGAACGCTATTGAAATTGGGAAAAATAGGTTCAGATTTAGATAAAATCCTTATATATATTTTTGTCAGATTTGTACTAAATTGTTCACCAAGGACCCAAAATCAACATTTTGTACAACCTACTGAATTTAGTATATCCTAAGGTATGGAAATCAGATTTAGATATAGCTCCCATATATAATTTCGTCCGATTTTAAGTAAATGGTGCACCAAGTACCCAATATTTTGCAAAACGTACTGATATACTTATAGCCTAACGTGTGCCAAACGTGTTTTGTTGAAATCGGTTGCGATTTAGAAATAGCTCCCACATATATTTTTCCTCCAATTTTATGCAAATGAACAATTGACACGAAATCAAGTCAAAGTTAGCCTTATACAATTTTATACTATTGTAAGCAAACGATTATAAATTTACCAGAATGAAATAAAATTTAGCATATGTTGCAGAATGGTATATATGGAAAAAAACGAAATCCATTATTTTTATATGTACTATAGGACTTTATTTAACATGCTTCGGAATGTCCGATTTGGGCAAAATATGCAAGATTTGTTGCCATTTTAAAGGTAACTTCACAAGGTAATGCCCCTCACATAGAAGTCCTGCACTCTATTTGCGAAAAAAAACTCTAGTAGTCGATTTTCACAATCCTCCCTAGATACCATTTTTGTATCAATTAAGAAATTTTGCAATGCAAGAAAAATATGATAATCGTTTGGTGCCAAGTCCGGACTGTATAGCGGATGCATTAAAACTTCCCAACCAAGCTCCCGTAGTTTCTGGCGAGTCACTGTAGATGTGTGTGGCCCAGCGTTATCCTGGTGGAACGCGACACCTCTTCTGTTGGCCAATTCTGTTCAATTTATATCTTCTAACGTTCAAGTTTTTGACAGTAGAAATCAGAATTTAACGTTTAGCCATAAAAAGTAATCCCCTTCTAGTCTTACCAAATGCATAGCAGAACTTTTCTGGCCGTTAGTCCTGGTTTGAGGTGTTTCACCGCTCTTTGACCACGATCGTTTTGGTAAAGGGTTATGTTATGTGATCCATTTCTCATCTCTAGTCACCATCCGTTTAAGAAATGGGTCTATTTTGGCCAATGCTTCGCAGATGGATCGAAACCAGCCTACTTTTCTGTTAATTGGTGTGGCACCCAAACATCGTACTTCTTTTTGAATCCAGCTTTGTGTAAATGTTTTAAAGCAGTTTTATGGTCGATTTTTAGGTCCTGGGCGATGTTTCGACTGCTAACATGCCGGTCAACTTCGATCATTTATCCGATTGTCTTGGCAGATACAACATAGGTCTTAATGACTAGACTCATGAGTTTGAAACTCCTTGTACATTAGAACTTTTTACCGGGTTAACCTACTTTACGAGGATTTATTTGACATATATGCAAAGGAAATGACAATTGAAACCCACTGGGTTAACAAAATCCGGTTAAATGTAAACGTACTGTCACTGCTTTTCCAATCCAGCCCCATTGTGTAAAAGCTGTATGACTGATACAACAACCATCTTAAAACCTTTACCTTTTTAATTTACTGCGAGCGCTTAAACCGTATTGAAGCTAATATTTGAACAAAACTATGCGCTGATCCAAAAAAAAGAGAAAACAGTAAGGTATATTCAACAGATGACGTGACATTTTTAAAGGACCAGTAAAATGATATTGGATCCATAAACATGTCATTCCCCAACCGATACTAAATTTTTCATTAGGTCAGATATAGAAGCTATATCTAAATCTGAACCGATTTTCAGGAAACTTAACACACATCCTTCTAGACCTAATTCATTACGGTGTGCCAAATTTCGTGCAAATCGAAAGATATATAGGGTCTTTGATGGACCATTTACATTAAATCGGACGAAAATATATATGGGAGCTATATCTAAATCTGAACCGATTTTAAGGAAACTTTACTCACGTCATTCTAAATCTATTTCATTACGCTGTGCCAAATTTCGTGCAAATCAAGAGATATATAGGGACTTTGGTGCACCATTTACATTAAATCGGACGAAAATATATATAGGAGCTATATCTAAATCTGAACCGATTTTTCCCAATTTCAATATGGTTCGTCCTTGGGCCAAATGTCATCCAAATCGGTCCATAAATGCGGCCTGTACTTTGTTCGCAAAAATACATGGACGGACGGACATGCGTAAATCGACTCAGAAAGTGATTCTATGCATATTCTCAAAAGGAACCATGTGTCTATCTCGTTTCCTTTTGTCTGTTACAAACATATGCACAAAGACATAATACCCTGTACCACAGTGTAGTGAAGGGTATAAAAAACGAAGTATCCGATTTGGCCCATATTTATTTTTATCGAATGCAGTCTATCGGTCCACTCATTCTGGGAAATCTCCTATAAAGGTTTTAAATTTTAAAAGGTAGAAATATAAAACGATTCTGAAAATGGACAAAAGAGTCCGCTTCCTTTGTCACCTCTTCCACAATCTGTCAACATTTCGACTTTTTTCTCAATTTTTGATTCTTTTTCAATAGCCCATGACAGGACCCATAAGTTTATGTTACGCGGATAACAATGGAACATGTCTAGTTAGGGGCCCGGTCGCGTATCGTTGACCAAGGTAGTAATTGTGGCCCTGATTACAATGTTATAAATTATTTTCCGGGGATGTGGACATCTAATGTTTATTTGTATTTTCCCATTATTTTCCTGTGGCCGGTGCCGGAGATTTAGGACTTTCTCCTATTGGTTACTGGCATTTACTGCTACGCAACAGAATCTCCTGTGTCTAATACATTGTCTCTAATGAATATCGATAATATTTAAAATGATAATGGAGACACATATCTCAGGAAGTATGGATAAGGAAATGATAGTTTTGTAATCAGGACCTAAATGCTTTAAAATGATACCCATATTGCTTTAGTGAATTTTAAAAATCATGAGAATATACAAGGATCCCAGCGGATCTTAGGAAGTACGGATTATCGCAAAAAAGTATAGCGTCGTATTCAGGCCCCAAGGAGTGCATATGGTAAAAAATTCAAAAACGATCCGCGACCGCGTCTTTAGCTCGACTTAAGCCTAATTTTGTCAGGCCAGATATTTCGGGATGTCTTCAAGAAAGAATTGGAGATATTATCGGAAATTTAAAATTCTACCGAAAAGAAAAGGTTAAGTAATTGAAATTAACAATTAACTACAAGCACTGGTTAACATTTTCTAGTAAGTTCCTGTAGTAAATTTGTTTAAGTATCTGTATTAAACAAATACCAATATTGATCTCCATATTATTGAGTAGATTCAATTAGGCTTTCGCCCATCTTGAGAATTCGAAATATTTTAACCGATTATGTTTTGTATAAAAAACTAATCTGAACAATATCAAATGCTGCTAAATTTTCCATTTTAAATATGGACTATTTATGCTTAAAATCTATTTCCTTTTTTGTTGATCGCTTAACCCATGTCCATAAACTAAACCTCGTTTAGAAAGTTCCTAGTATCAGTAGCATCTATCAACCAATAAGGTGCCCAGTTTTGCCTTATTCCAAGCATAAATTATGTTCTCAATATTTCACTTATCATGGCCATGGGGCAGTGTACACTTGACATATCTCCATATTTGCTATTCCAAATATGTGTTTGTTTCACTTAATAATTACAACACCGTTTTGTTTATTATTATTTTTTAATAATAGTTTTTTTATTGTTGTAACTTTTTTTCTAAAAAAAATACGTCACAAATTTCCTCCATACAGATCCACACAGCAGAATGAAAACATACAAAAATTTATGTTTTCATCATTACGTTGACAGTTGTTGTTGTTGCAGTAATTATTTTAAAAACTAGAAGCATGCTTCCCGGCATTGCAGATAACTTAGAAGCGCAACTTCTGGAAGAACCACTTGTTCTTGCCCTCCTTGTAGGAAGTTTCGAACTTGACACGGGTTTGGAAACGGTGAGCCTTACGCTTGGCGGGATCCTTCAAGTCCTTGGGCGACAACTTGTCGAAGGTGATTTCGCTGGCGGAATAACGGGTGGGCATCAAGTGATTGTAGTTCAATACCTTCAAGAAAGGCTTGATCTTGGACTTCTTCTTCAACTTGGTCTTGCCCATGCTCTTGGTAACCTTGCGGGGGTATCTGTCGATACCAGCAACCAAGGCATGACCGAAAGGTTTGTCGGCACCACCATCGTCAACAGTCTTGACAATGATGGCCTTGCGGCCGGCGTAACGTCCACTAAGGACAATTACGATTTTGTTAGCTTTCATAATCTTCCTCATCTTGATGGCTGTTGTGTGTTGGTGGTGGTCCATGCAATGTTATTGTTGTTGTTGGGAAGAGGAAAATCACAGCATCGTACACAAATGTTTATGATTGAACATGAAAGAGAATAGAGAAGGCCAAACATTAGTTATGTTCTGTAAACACAATTATTCAAACATTATTTTCAATTAATTTACAAATTAATCAAGTGATTTATGGTCGATTCCATTGTTCCACAAAGAATACACTTCTTATTGTCCCTTTATTTGTCATCTTAATAACAATTGGCAGCAAAACATCTTCCATGTCTCTTTGACAACAAAAAATTAACACCAATTTCAAAGTTCATTTTTCTTTGGCAATTCCGCCATTTTGCGGGAAAATATTTATTGTTTTCATTAGTTTGGAATATTTAGTTTTCACTCGGGCATTCATTTTTTATGGATTTTCACGAAAATCACTTGATTTATTTGATAAATTATTGAAAAATTTACGAAAAGCACTTACAGGTCTTATGGCTGACCGGATATAGAGAAAGAGAAAAGGGATGACATTTCGCACGTTAGATTGACATTTCTGTCAAAAGCTGTGTTCATTTTGTATTCGTGTGATATGTGCAAAAGGTATGTGCTATGAATTTGTGTTGTGTAGTTGACAAGTGGCAACACTTTACGAACGTAATGAAAAGCGTTCCAAATACGTCAGTGAAGAGTAGATTTTTTCTAATTATTGAAATTTTTATGTAAATAATAACACAAATACTATGCAGAATGGGGATTAAATTGATGAAATGGTTAAATTAACGGATCTTCTCAAGTATTCGTAGTTTATGGGACATATAACGGCCGACTTATTTAATTTTGACCAGATTATGCCTTACGAATGCTAAATGTAGGGGGTTTCCAAGACGAGGTGTCATTAGAAATAAACCGGCATTTCCGTATCTGACACTTAAGCGGTGTACACACTATCATTTTTGACTGTCAGCTTTTTTATCGATTACAGACTGTCCAACAACCATAAATATTTTTGTGGTTGCCTGATGAATGACAAACATGTGAGGCCACACTATCAAACAAGCAAAATTTGGGCAAGAGTGCCATTCAAAAATGCTAGTGTGTACACCGCATTAGTCTGTTCTAGAATCTCCAAGAATGTAAATATTTTACTACGATAACAATTTGTCCATTATTATATCGAAAAAATAGTAAGATGTAGTAGATTTTAGAAGTACGGGAACATGTCATTAATGTTTTGAAAATATACCAATTCATGACAAAATAATAATAGATAGTTTCATTTCCAAAATTTAAATACAGCTATGCGCTCTTTGTACTTTACTATGTCAAATACAACCATGCATTTAATTAATATAAATATTCTTGCTGTTAATACAGATATTTTCACCTATAACTTCATATATTCCTATTTACTGTTATATATAGAGAAACTCTATTAAATAGAGAATTTTAAATCTCCTATAAAAATTCTTCTACTTCTTTTATAAAAATGAATTCAGATACTACAAATGAAGATATTCTTAGGAAAAATAATAGAAAAAATTCAGGACATCAAGAAGACATACAACTCTTCTCTTTAGCGATTCTTTAAGTAACGAGGTGGATTATGTTCAGCCCCATTTTACAATAATACACGGTAAGATATCTTTTAACAGTCTCATCTATCTTGAGCTTTGATAAATCGTAATAAATAATAAAAACAAAATGTGAAACATTAATGGAATGCCAGATTTTCTTTCTAATGGTGTTTTTACACGATATGTATTTTACATATGTGCTGTCACTTATTTCATCCATATGTAATTCCTTATGGGTGTCAAAATTAGCAGCGTACACAAAACTTTTATTTTTTGTGCTCAAATCGGCGTATGTATTTTAAATATGACATAACCTATAAACAAAAAAAAAAAACTTTTATTTTTTTCTTAAATCAACATCATTTTTTATTAAACACCTACAAACGAAATAATAATTTGTAATTGCTGCCTTTTCATTATTTTCTTTGACTTGAAACATTTTCTTCCAACAAAGTGTTTCATTCAAACAGCTGATTTCCTTATGTTTCACATACGAAAATAGAGCGTGTCCTATTCGGAAAAAAATACATATGTAATTGCATATCGTTTTGACACATTGAAATTTCCGTATGTTTCACGAGTTCGATTTCCATATGTAAATAAAGTGACAGTACATATGTAAAATACATATCGTGTAAAAACACCATAAATCAAATTGGAAATATAATTTTAACACCGATTTATACCACAAATATTAAATTTCGTTCCAAAATGCATATTTTATTTTGACATAAATCCATATCAATCAGCTGATTCAACATGTATGTAGGCATGTCATAATTATACAATGTAATGTCATGCAGACATATGGTTCCAATCTAAATTGGGACATACATTTTTAATTTTTTGAAAATATTTCAATTGAAATACATAAATGGTCTGTTCCAGTACTGCAAGAATCTACTACTTTTTACTACGATAACAACTTTTCCTTTATGATATCGAAGAAAGTAATAAAAACTAGTAGATTCTCGCAGTACGGGAACAGACCACACATTTTATGGAATTTATTTCTAATTTTATTTGAAATTGATGTATGAGTTACATATTAAAAAGGTTTGCCATTATCCATGTCTCAAATGACACTACCTTAAATTATTATGCCATGATATGATAAGGCAACCCTTTTTAGTTTGGAACTCATCTAACAATTTCAAATTGTTTGAAAAATAAATTCCATAAAATTTGATGAATGTCGAATGGTATATTTTTTAAAAAACTAAAAATGTATACCATGATGCAATAATAAGGTGATGCATCAAAATAAAAACCTTTGTTTTTGTCTCGATCATCTGTCAAATGTTTCCTTATAATATTTCACATGGTTGGCAACATTGCACATCGAATTCAAGTAGAAATTACGCGCTTTGACAGTTAATCAAGACATCAGCTGCTCTAAATGGACTACATATTCATTGAGCAATAAATGAAATATTACTTTAATTTGTGCCAAGTCCATATTTTTGCACAGCATAAGTCTTGGAACCTCTGGAGAAAAATAATGAATTATTTAATATTACTTATTTTTTACAATTAAATTGACTTGCCTAATATTTGGTAGGATATCCCTTGAGTTTTTAAACTTCATTCAATCGTTCGGGCATTGAGTATACAAGTTTTTTAGTGTAGTTCGACGATATTTTACCCCATTCTGTCAAAAGTATTTCTTTGAGTTGGGCCTTACTGGAAATTGTATGATTTCGGATTCGTTTATCTAGATGATCCCATAGGTGCTCAATCGGATTTAAATCGGGGCTTTGTGGAGGTGTTATCAGGATGTGTGGTGTTTTGTATACGATCCAATTCCTAACGTCAATAGCAGAGTGTTTTGGATCATTGTCCTGTTGGAAGTAATAATTATCACGAATGTTGAGTTTTTGGAAGTAATAATTATCACGAATGTTGAGTTTTTCAGCACTTTGATACAATTTTTTTTTTAAATATTCATGTAAACTGTTTTATTCATTATTTCCTCAATGAATACCAAATTGCCAACACCAGTTGCTGACATGCACCCCTATATCATTACTCCACCCCATTCTTTACTGTTTTTCGAGTATTCTTTGGATTGAACTCATCGACTTTTTTCCGCCACACCAAAGAGCCTCCATCCGACCCAAATATGTTAAATTTCAATTCGTCCGAGAAAATAACTTTTTCCCAGAATGGGCAGTGCGAGCAATGAATCCACACTTCTTGATGCATTTACGTACCGTGTCTGCTGAAACTGCAAATGATTCTTTTACGTCTGCAGCGATTTAAGGAGCGCTTGTAAATGGATCTTTTTATACCCTACACAACTATGATGTCAGGGTATTATAGCTTTGTGCAGACCCAAGAGTTTGTAACGCCGCGAAATATTGGTCCTAGACCCACCTTTAAGTATACCGACCGTCATATCTCGACTAGCTGAGTCGATCTACACATGTGTGTGTGTCCGTCCGTCTGTCCATTATAATTTGTACACACGATACAGGCCACAGTTTTGGACCAATTTTCACGAAATTTTGCATGTAGGATGGGTTCTGGCCAATGAAGACCCCTATTGTTTTTGGTAAAGATCGATTAATATTTAGGGGATGAAATGGACCAAATACTTAATTTTTATCGGTTTTTCTGGTCGCTACCGAGCCCGCAATTATGGCCCAAACATCTCCAATTTTTACAAGGAGAAGGGGATCGGACCAAAGAATAAGCATACTTGTTTTGATAAAGATCGGTCAATATTTAGCGGGTCAAATGGACCCTGACTTTTGTGTGAAAAAATACAAAATTTGTATTCTATGGCATATATATTTACTCCTGAAGGACATAGACCCGAGAAGTTGATAGTATATCCAAGAGGAGTGGTTGACCTTTAACTTGATACCAATTACATTGTCGTAGGTACTCGGATGCAGATGCTTACGTATTCATATATTACTTAGTAACCTGTTATCACACTGGTGGGCGGAAATATAGCCCTGATCGCTTTGAAATGTTCCATGAGGTTCCAGTTATGGTCAAGGACAACGCCTAAAATGTTAGGTGATGATCAGATAATGATTTTTCGGATGAAGTGGACCGAAAACTTAATTATTTGTACTTTTCGAGTCGAAAGCCGAACATCACAACACAACCCACGGTGAAGGGAATCTGGACAAGTAATTAGAGGATCTGTACTGATTATTAGTAACATTTTTTGACCTCTAGGCAGCCAAAAGTGTGCAAATATCGCGAAATATTGCCAATCTCAGAATATAGAACCACAGAAAGTTAGATTTTCATGGAAGTTGTGTAGGGTGTCATATGATCGGCCCCGTCCGACTATACTGCTCCGCTCACTGGTTTAATATTATATTCAATTTTTCGTTCTTCTTTTAAGCTTCCTGGGACGGCCTGATCGCGGTTTATTTTCAATTATATTTTCATGTTTGTATCGATTAACCACTTTTTGGACTGCTTATTTGGTTCTGTTTATCATTTTACCTATTTCGGAATAAGATTTTCCCATTTCATGGTTATTGATTTTTCGCTCTTCAACGGTAAGTTCTTTTCTAGGCATTTCCTTTTTTCTAGACATGCTTTTGGAAATGTGGAAAGTAGCGTTATTGTTTTAAAAGAAAATTTGACAAAACTTTAAATAGGTGCCACCTATTTTACTAAACGATTTTATCCCATAAATGATGTGTAATATCAGCTCTGATCAGGGTACCATGATTTATGCTGTGCAAAAAATTGGAGTTAACACGATCTCGATTTTTTTTCATGGTTTGTTGGAACAAATAAATGAAATATTACTTTTCATTGCTGTAGTAGTAGGAGTGAATACATAAAATAATAATAATTGTTTTAAAATTTGTAAATGATTTTTTGAGTAATTACGGAATATTTTTTTCTTTGTATGGGGTACCATGACTTTTGCTGCTCACTGTACAGACGTGTGAACACAAAAGTAAACAAGTATAGTAGACCACGGATATAAGAAAACGTTTCACCCATATAAGAAAACAATT